TTCATCACATTCACCGTCTTAAGGTGGGATTGACTAAACAACCTTACCACAAACTGTGACCGGTTCTCTGACGGCAAACGACGCCATAGCTTTTGAATCTCACGAGCCCTCGTACGAGGATCAGGCCACTGACTTTTCAGCTCCGGATGGACGATATTCGCATAGAGAACTGGCGCAATCGTCGACCTGTCACCGAGCCGCTCCTCATCCTCCCACTTCTCGTAGTTGACACGACGATTGACCGATCCTATGGCACCACTGCTGCCACTGTTGGTCATACTGTCGCCGCCACCAACTGCACCCTCCAAACACCCTGCACCAGGTGCCACTTGTGTGGATGGAGAGGTGAGCATTGACGGATTCATACCTTCCGAGACCATTGGTTGTCCGACCCCTCCTCCTAACTGCATTTCGACAGGTCGCCTAGGGCTCATGTCTACAATTGGAACAGCCTCCTCAATAAAGACATTCCTGCCTATTCTGATTAGGATGTACACATATTTTGAAAGTGCATTAGGTCTCTCGGTGCTAATCTACTATGCTGCTTTATTAATAAAATAGCAATACACTTTCCTTACTTTTAGAACGAATCAGCACCAATTGACGTAATCCATACCAAACTCTTTCGCAAAAACTTACGTCTGTTCAGGCTGCACTTTGATACTTCTCGCAGACGTTAATATGCATTGCGTAAGTAGACAACTTCGCGAACCAAATAACGCGCATGAATGATTTCAACGCTTTATGGAATATCCTAAAAGGGAGTTAAGCGTTTATGAGTGACTAAAACAAAGTATAGTCATATGATGTCTTTGTGCTTTGAGGTCTTTGTTGGCATTATCTTTATAGTAGGTGGCGCTTAATTGTTTTGTCTGTAATGGTTTTGCTTGTGGTATCTTTACGGATGGACGTGTCAACGTGTGCTTGGAATTTTATTATTAGCATAATTCTTGGGTGTCATTTACTCGAAAATACTTTTATTGCTATTTAACTGCATGTATTTATTATTCGACTTGATTACACTAACAAATTTATGGCACTCCTTTTTTATATAGAGGTTTATAATAGCTACATCAGTACATCGAAAAGATGGCAACTTTTAAGGGAACTGTTCTGTCCTGCTAAAGTAAACCGATTCCCTCCCCTTCCTGTGAGGCAATTAGTGTGAAAATCGCGTTATTTTTTATGTTGTACATTAATCTGTTCCTTTTTTGTATAGCGGTTTCGCTACCGCTAAATGGTTTGCCATGCCGAAACCCTACCTTACTTCTATTTTGCTGAATGCATATATTCTGCTCAAGAATTAGGGTTCTGCCCCATTAGACTGCCTCGAAACGGCGCAATCTGATCCCCATCAGGTTAAAGTCCAAGTAATGCGCCACCTTTAGTGCATTTCTCCAAACAGGCATTAGTCATGATTGAAACTATCTGCCAGTGGATGTGCTCGGTCGCCCTTTACCCCGAGAGCGGTTTCATAGACCTACATCAACTTAGGTATCCGAAATATCAACCAGCTATTGAGAAAAATGAGGAGACTTAGTGGATCGCACTTACCTACTAACTGCACTCTTTGAGCCCTTCAACATCAGTGGTCTGCATATTTGTCTTTAAATCTTTAACAAAAACTCAAGACGAACGACTGTATCGTCGAGTCATTCATGGCCATTCTACAAAACATCCTCAGTGTTGCATTAAATCGCCCAAGATGTAGCTCTTATTCGCCAAATATCTTTGCTATAACTAATTTAAATTTGAATGAAGTCATAGTACTGCCGAATCCAGTTGCACAGACTTAGGCGTATTATCTCGAACAGACCCAAACTCGGTAGAAATCCAGTCAAACAAATGCAGTCGTCAAGTGTTCAAATGGCTCACAGTCTTCTGCCTCTGAGAAAGTCGACTCTGTAATAGGCCTCACACGTTAGATGCTTAAGAGTAGCAAATCCTACGAATCCACGCAAACACGACCCAGACACTAAACGCCAGCTGGGTCGAGGCTGATCCCAGCGCCGAACACACAGCAGACAAGCCATACAAAAGAAAAATTCATACGGAAGGTAACATTGTTAACACAAATTTGTATTGTACAATCGATACTAACACAAGAGTAGAAGTAAACTACACAATGCAAGAGCGTGCAATGTCGTCCATAAGAGTAAGCACAATACAGATACTTCAAATAGTAGCGTAGTCACCAGTGGATTGGATCACTACATACTTCCAAGGTGGGAACGCTGATCTACAAAGTAAGGAGTAGGTAATGTGAAATGATATTTATTGTGCACAAAAGGTCACCATACATCCGAGGGCGATAAATTACAGGCGCGCATTTAAGTGGCACGACGAATGATGCCTAAAGCTTACCCTCGCTACGGCTCATGTGCCCTGCGGAGTCAGAATGAGGAAGTGGTGGACGTGGGGCATGATGACTTGGATAGGGCGATTGAGGAGGCACGTTATAGGAGTTGTACTGCGGAGTCTGGGCGGGCATGTACGATTGCCTTTGCTGAGGCGGTGGTTGCTCATAAAGAGTTGAGGAGTGCACTGGAACGGACTGCTGGTAGTCTACCCTACTAGCAGCAGCAAGAGGAGGGGAAGTACTCACAGCGTTGGGCATGGGTTGTCGCACCCTCGAATACGATGGAGGCATGAAACTAACACTGTAATGCGCCGGCTGACTCTCGGAGATTAAATATTGTGCCGGACAGTCAGAGTAGCCGCTAACGCCGTCGCCTCCACTACCACCACTCACCACTTCCGCATCGCCTGAGTAACAACCGCCAGTGGATACCGATTCTGTTCCCATGTTCGTCGATCCCTCCTCCTGCTGCGACTTTGACACTGTCTGTTGGCCAACTGGTGTCAATGGGGACTGACGATGCGTTTGTGACGCATAGAACTGTTGCGATGACTTCCCTTTTGCTGCCTGTTGATGCACCTCCGCCGAAGACGGTGACGGATGGTACTGATGATCCGTCTCAAATTGGGTCTGACCTACAATACCAAAACATCCAATTGTTGACTGTAATGCTCGTCCTCACAATCATGCCAATCAAGTCAATGCCCGTAGCATCCGACGCTACCCACCCATGGGATGAGGCACCATTTGCTCCTGATGCTGCTGTTGCATTCGAGGTGCATATACCATCGGCGGCGGCGGCGGTGGCAATGGTGGCGGAACTGGCATCTCCCCACTTGCCTCCATCGAATGCTGTTGTTGTAGTGGTACTGATTGTTGCTGCTGCTGCTGTTGTGGCTGTGACTGTTGTGGAATGAAACGCGGTCGATCCTTGCTTGCACCAGCACCTACGACCCGACTGAAGATGACAGGCGGTTCAAAACCCGCCTCTTCCATGCCGGAGGAGGGTGTCGCAATCGACGTGGAGGAGGACTTAATTGGGGTCGATGGTTGTGATTGTGCTTGAGCCTGAAGAGTATAGTATGAATTTCGTTGCTACAATGATAGAGTGGCAGTAGGTGGCCAGTTCTCTGAAAGAACAGCATAATAGCATTATAAAAGGCTCACATGTGATGCTTCTATACTGGATGGAGTAGATGTGGCAAGTTGATAGGGTGGAGGAGGAGGAGGTGGAGGTGGAGGTGGAGGAGGAGGATGAGGTGGACCCTCCTGGTGATGACTAGTAGACGCTGACGTAGCAGGTAGAACTGGAGGTGAACAGAGAGACGGTGGCACCGAGGTGCTGGAAGGCGAGGCAACCACCGGAGGCGAGGTTGAAACTGGAGGCAACTGAACAACGCTGCTGGTAGCACTGCCACCACGTGGAGTCACCTGTTGCAAAGCAAAGTTTGACTCAAAGGAGGGAGACACTCGTGCAAATCCACTAGACGGGTGATGTTGCGGGGGTGGTGGAGAGCCTGGGAAAAATGCATTGCTTCCGTTGCCACTGCTGGTCGTGGATGTCGATAGAGACGGTTGAGGTGTAGCATGAGAAGAACGAATTTGCTGTCGCGTATAGGAGTAGGGAGAACTTGCATGTGAGTAGATCTGCTGTTGTGGTTGCTGCTGTTGGTGCAAATGCTGCAAAGAAGGATGGTGGATACAGCTTTAACAGAATGCAGATCACAGGCTGATAAAACGACTCTAACCAAAGTCGAGCATTAAGAAGGAAATTTCAAAATGAAATGCAAACCACCTGCTGTTGTACTTGTTGTACTTGAGGTTGTTGCTGCAGTGTAGACAGCGATTGCTGCTGAGGATGCTGTTGTTGATAGGATGTGGTAGGCGAGCTGCTTGTTATCGGTTCTTGTTGTTGTTGCTGTTGCTGACGCTGTTGCTGTTCCACCTGTTGTTGCTGAGCTGCAGCAGCCATCTTTCTTTGACTGACTTTCTTTGCAAGGATTTCCCGAAGCCTCTGACGCTCTCTATCCCCTGGCGATAAACCTGATGATTGTGAAACTGGCGGTGCTTGGGGTTGTGAGATCGCAGGAGGTGGTGGGTGTGGCGCAACATTAACGCCGGCATAGTGTTGTGGCATTTGCGTGGGTGGCTACAAAGACGAGAAAGTGAACAGAATGTGTGCAAGTGCTGAGCCTCCTTCAAAACAAAATAAAATAAAACGTCAGAGTAGAATTAATTCGATGTCTAAGCTATACCTGCTGCATCATCGATATAGCTCCATATGAGGGAGGCACAGATCGTGGCGATGGCATAAAATGCTGTTGTTGAAAATGATGATGATGATGCATCATCTCCTGTTGTTGTTGTTGCTGCTGTCTTTGCTGGTACAAAAGGTGTTGTTGATGTTGCTGTGTGGCAGGAGCAGGAGACACAGGGGAAGGATGACCACCAGGCGACCAGCGTGGATGCTGGTGTGATGAGGGCAGAGGTGAAGTGACCCCCGCAAAGCCCGAAGGCGGCCATGTTGGTGGTGGAGGGGGAGGAGGAGGTGGTGGAGGCGGCAAGTAAGCTCCTTGTTGCTGAGCCGGTGTCGACGGCGGTTGTATAAGCTAGCGATTGACAAAAAATGACTTCCAGTAATTCCGATTAAATATGCACCATGTGAATACTTTCGATGAGTCACGGCAAAAAGTCCATATGACTGGATGTGAGGTTAGGCTTTAGATCTTCAACCAACTCTGCCTACAAACTCCAAAGGTGGTAAAATTACCATTGACTGTTCGGGAGTGGATGCTAGAGGCGTGTTCGAAGAGGTGAGTATCTGGTGCTGATAGGGTGAAGAGGACGACATCGCAGCAGGCGAGGAAGGCTCCGCAGTGTGAGACGGTGGTGGCGGCAGAGAGGTGGGTCCACCTCTCCGCACATTTCCACCGAGCAACGAACTGGGAGATAATGAAGGCGAGGGCTGAGAAGCAGACACAGAAGGAGGATCTCGAGCCTGAAGAGGTGGTTGAGGCAGAAAAAGTGTACCCGATGATCCCTGCGTCTCCGCTGCTTGGTCCTCCGAAACAGCAGCTGATGTCAACGAAGGTGGTCTTTGAGTTGATTGAATTGAAGAAACACTCCCAGATGTGTCCATAGTAGCATGAATGATACCACCAACTTCTGAGGAATGAGATACGGGTACCTAAAAGGGATGCAGAGAATAAGTCGAAATGCTTAAATTTGCTGACAATGAACAAATGAATAGGAAAAGTAGAAGTTACCATAGGTATAGAACTTTGATCAGCTTCAATTGCACGCTGCTCAGGAGGATAAGATGACTTTGAGAGAGGCGACTGACGTATGGATTGTGATGAGGGTGAAAGATGTGACTGAGTTGGCGGAGGATGTGGAAGCGTCTGTCCCTGCATTAACGGATGGTGTGAAGATGGACGCGGCGGTTGCTGGAACGACTGTGAGTGACGCAGGGATGTAGGCGATTGAGCGTAGTTAGGCAGGATTGGTGTCCCACTGCTAGAACTACGACCACCACCAGGAGCAGAACCAACGGTGGTCGTAGGAAGGCAGCCAGAAGGAAAGGAGGGCGAAACATGCGACATCCCACCACTTCCTGAAGTGTGACAAGGAATGGGTGCACCTAGGGACGATGCGCCACCGCTGCCACTACCTTGCATCACCGCGTGTTGCGTTTGGCTGTGAGACGGCTGGACACCTCCACCCACATTGCTGCTGTTGCTGCCACCGCCACCACCACCACCGCCGCTGCTACCGCCGCCGCCGCCGCCACCACCACCTCCACCACGAGAAGAAAGTGTGTTCGAACTAGCCCGAAATTGCGTCTTATTCGCACGCGCCTGATTCTACAACAAACAACCACCTCCTTTCGACACACCACAATACCACCCTCATCACAATCACCGTCTTAAGGTGGGACTGGCTAAACAACCTTACCACAAACTGTGACCGGTTCTCTGACGGCAAACGACGCCACAGCTTTTGAATCTCACGAGCCCTCGTACGAGGATCAGGCCACTGACTTTTCAGCTCCGGATGGACGATATTCGCATAGAGAACTGGCGCAATCGTCGACCTGTCACCGAGCCGCTCCTCATCCTCCCACTTCTCGTAGTTGACACGACGATTGACCGATCCTACGGCACCACTGCTGCCACTGTTGGTCATACTGTCGCCGCCACCAACTGCGCCCTCCAAACACCCTGCACCAGGTGCCACTTGTGTGGATGGAGAGGTGAGCATTGACGGATTCATACCTTCCGAGACCATTGGTTGTCCGACCCCTCCTCCTAACTGCATTTCGACAGGTCGCCTAGGGCTCATGTCTACAATTGGAACAGCCCCCTCAATAAAGACATTCCTACTAAACTTTGCTCATTGTCTGATTACTGAAATTGTTAGAGTAGAGGTAAGGGAGGCGAGTGGAGAAGCAAAATGGTGTGTATACACCGAGATGCGAAAGAGAAATCAAATGCATGTAGAACTGTACTTCCCTCTTTTCATGAGGCTAAACTGTTGCTAAGACGCACTGATCGACGATGCATCGCAAACGGCCACAATTTCTTCAAAATAACTCGATGTAAACAAAAGCTTGAGTGGGAAGCCAGAGTGAACTAAGAGCTTTTGCACATGTACACACACATGAGGCCAAGGATGTGATTCAGTAATGCTAGTAAAGAAAGCCGTAAAATGAAGGTGTGGCTAGCAATAGGCGAAATATAAATCCCTACCTTGCCGCAGCATTGTTTTGAGTTGCTGATTCAGCTGTAATCCACTTTCAGAACCCATCTGCGTAGGGTCGTATGATATGGGAAGTGGAGACTGCCGCGACTTCAGTGACAGAGCGCCTGATCCACTTGGCGGTGGCACAAGACTCGGCGGCATTCCCCTATACACCGCCGCCGCAGGCTGAAATCTCTGCTGCTGCTGTTGTTGCTGCTGGTTTGTGGTTATGTAAGCCGTTTGCGAGTGAAATTGTGCATAGCGTTGTGGTAAAGGTTGCCTCCATCCCACAGGTGGCCTCGACCCTGGATAAGGCGGAGGTGGAGGTGGCTGTGCTACACTAGGATCTACCATAGCTCCAGAATAACTCTGCTGCTGTTGAAGGTAGAACTGTGTGCGTTGTTGTTGTTGTTGTTGGGGCGGAATTCCTCGAGGAGGATACTGTGGAGCCCGTAGGGGATAATTTGGAATTACAGACTGGCTCTCACTTTGGACAGGGAAGGGAGATGGTGCAGAGACCTGAGTCTGCATTGCCTCCGTCTTGGAAAGTGAACTAGACTGTGGTGTCGGTGGTGGTGGTGATGTACCCTCGGAGGGGAGACCAACACTGCCACTGCTTCCACCTCCACCAGTGGTTTCAAATTCAATCAACTGTGATTCAATGTCCAGGGCGCTCAATTCAGGCAGGAGTTGTGATTCTGATTGAGACTGCTGCACCGTCGCAAGGGAAGTTGAGTTGACAGTCTGTTGATTTGATGTTTGTTGCATATCCTGTGATCTTGGTGAAGGGACAGCCTGACTTTCATCAGGGAATAACGTTCGACTTTGCAACTGTTGCTGTTGATAATTTACATCCGAAATTGACTAGTAAAAAATGAAACCAAACAATAATTTGTCAATAAGTGGTGTGAACACAGCATATATTGGTGAAAGGAGACATACTGTAGGTGGTAAGTCAGTGCTGGATTTTTGATCTGATGGAGCAACAAATTGTTGAGAATGCTGTTGCGGTTGTTCAGCAAAAACATTCATCGGCAGAGAACCATGAGAAACGGGGAGACGTTGTTTTAGTGCCGATGAATCGCTGTATGTAGGTCCACCAGTAATTGAAGCACTCGAGGAAACGGAAGCAGGTCGTGTGGCTTCTGAAGTGGTGGCAAAGTTACCAGCCAAGTTCAAGAAGTCATCAACGAGCATATAGTCATTCACATCATCAAGATCTACAAAGAGAGAATGAAAGTTTAAAAAGTGATTGAAAATACCAAATAGTGGGTTTCAATAAAAGTATGCTGAAACTCACTAGTTTGTAATTGAGAGGCGGATTCAACTGGGCGCGTTTGTGGCTTCGGTTTTGGAGTGGGTGACTGCAGCGGTCGAGATTTGGCAGAATCACCTCCCACATTGGAGGAAGTTGAGGGCACATTAAAGACCTCGTCCACTTCTTCCCTACCCTCCTCTTCAAAGCTGTCCATCGTACCCTCATCCTCGCCATACTCTTCCTCATCACCCAGAGCATCTTCCTCCAAAAGGTCTTCCGCAGTGGTAGTCGCCCCCGCAGTGCTCCAGATGTTCCCTCGACTGTTTGAACATGGAATCGGCGAGGTCAAACTACTCCGTGGGCTTGCCATTTTCGACGATTGAGCAGAACGATTCCAAGCATCAGTCTGTGTTAAAAGTAAGCCTAATTAACATCATGCAAGCTTTCAATAGGGTGAGGGCTAGCCACTCTGGCAGCCTACATCTCAACTTGATCGGATGCATACACAAAAGTGCGAAACAAATACAAATCAGTTTTAATTTTACACATCAACAATCAGTCGCCAGAGAACATTCAAAAACTTTGAAAACTAGCTCAATTATCAGTATTGTTATTAGTTACGCAACTATAAAAACGAAGTGAGGCTGTGGCTGTAGAACGTTACTGAGCCACTTAATTAATCGTAAGAGTATAGAAGCAAATAGAATAGAAATTTTACACCAAGTAATATAGGAACCAACCATTCTTCTGAAGTCTGACGATTCTCCCAGTTGATATTGTTCACCTGTAGCTACAGCTCCAGTTCGATTCCCGGTCCCTGCTTGGCAAGAGATGGAGGATTTGCGCCGCCGTTTCTTCCCAATAGCGGCATTCATTGCACCAGCTACAGTGGTGTCACAGGAGACCGAGGCGAACAACTTTTCACCGTAGAAAGCCTGCATCAAGTAATCGGGGTAAGTCTCCTCCAGATCAGACTTCTTTTTGTTAGGCCGTCGCTTCTTCCCAATGGGAGGCGGCCCGCCATCGCCCAACACCTTCGTAGCACCCGGAACACCTGTAGCTGCCAGTTGCGACTTCTTTGTCTAAGGGTAATCAAGCATCACTAATCTTCAATCAACCCTTCGCCGAAGTCACCAAATAAGAATGATGCGCAAGAGGTAGAAAAGTGAGGATGAGTAAGATTAAGGAAAAATCTGTAAGGTACCTACCCATAGAGCAACCTCGTTCATCCCTAAAACTGCTCTCATGTGAAAGCTGCATCGAACAAGTTGTATTGAAATAGCCCACAAATTTGAAATTCAATATTGGCACTGTTTGGTTTAAAAATTATTAGCAATAAAGTAATCGTGTGCACCCTCCACCAGAGGTCATAAAGGCACATTACTAGGTTGCAGAGACGCAAAACTTATAAGTGAACAAGTCCCACCTGATAAACACGTGAGGGTCTTGCGCGGAAGCCACCTACACCAAGATTGAGATGACGTCGCGATAGTGCAGTGCCTGCTTTGGCTTTCTTGCCAGCTGAAGGTGCCTACAAGAGAAGACATGATGAAAAGCGAACGGACACAAAGAGGGTGGATGGGAGAGTGCCGATAGTTGGGTGCAGAAGTACTCACGGTCATGATTGCGGTGCCACCGGTAGGGGCGACATTTGAGACCACAGAAGAGGAGGAATCAGTAGGGAAGAGAGAAGTAACAGCACCGCCTGTAGCAGTAGAACTCGAATCACCAGTCGCTCCACCGCCATGAACTGTGTCCTCCTCAGAGAGCACACTTCGTGGAGACTTAGCTATCTCCCTGTAGATGGCTGATGTGAACTCGGAGTCGGCATCAGCACCTGAGTGCTGGCTGACTTCTTCATCCACCTGTGCATGAGACGAGTTATATAAGGCAAAAAAACGAAGCCAATAAGTCTGCAAATGTCACTTCCAAATCGACAAGATAACAAAGTATTAAACACGCAAGTTGGTAGACTGTATCAGACCCAAACTATAGAATGGCAGCCACCGTTTCAACAAATGTGCTAAGAAAAAGGAATTAAACGCTTTAAAACTAGTGAAGCAAGTGGGTTTACACCTACCGGGGTGTACACAGATGGTGGAGCCGTGTCTACAGCCGAATGAGCGTCTGGAGTAGCAGTTGCAGAAGCCTGAGGATTTTTTTGACGTGGAACAACGGGTGCTCGCTTTGGCTGACTTTTCACCATTGCTCTACGGATCGTATTCAGACCAGCTCGACTAAGCACAACACCATCCATAAAAAATAGCCTACAAACCGTAAAAAAAAAATCTGAGCAAGGCTAAGTACCCACAATTGGTGACGTTTTACTGTAATGAATATGAAGTTAGTAAGTGGTAAAAAAAGCAAATCAGTCATGAAAATTTACATCAATGGTGGTAAAGGCGATAACATCAAAAACATACTTTGGATCGGGAGAGTCTTGCTCATCATCAGATCGTGTGGTCGAGGAGCCAGCTGACCCGAGACCGGGCGGCTAAAGTAAACAACGATAGGGTAGATTGAAAAGCTCTAGCACTCACATTCATTACAGACTCTTGCTCACCAGCCGTTCCCCAAAGTAAGGATCATTACTGTCACCTCGCCAAGTAGCCATAAAGGGAACCGACGCATCGTGTGTAGCACGAAAGTTGAGCAACTTTAAGGCACGGAAAAATAAAGTTTGTAAGAAACAAATGAAGCCCAGGAGAGGGCCTTAAATAAAGAGTATTGCAAGATGCTGAGTGGGGATGAAATTGACCTACCTGTTGGTGGCCCAATCCATAGGGAGATCCATGTTCACGACAGAGGGCGCATGTGTACCCACCATCAACGACGAAATCCACTTCCTCCTCGGTGCGTATTTGATCACATCCAGCATGAGACCAACGTTCACACTCAGCACATTTAATAAGAAGGTCTCCATCGCGGTAAGGCAGAGTACAGGCCGGACATGTGGTGTTGGAGGCGCAGGGAGCGCATTGTGTGTAGTTTGAGGACCATTCACAATTTGTACCGGGCGATCGTCGACCGCATTGCAGACAGGAAACGCAGTTAGTACACTTCCAGTTGCCCTAATAATGCAATCGAACAAATTATTTTGGAAAAGATGTTAGAGGATCTAGTGCACTGGCATGCGCACACCCAGTGAGAACATTCAAAACATGTATAGAGGAAAAGAAGTAGGTAAAAAAAACCAATCCAAACAATGAGTTCAAATTTGACATCTTTTCCAGAACTTGTCTAGACTGCACTCGGTAAATGAATCCCTACGAACCGCTAATGATCTGATGAAGCACACTTTCACAGCAGACTAAGACTAGTCCAAAACCTTACAGCGTCAAGAAAAAAGAGCCAGCCAAATTAAGCTCTGGGCGACGGATAAACACACAAAGTGGGAGACACATAAGCATCTGAGGCGGACGAGAAGTAGCAAGCGACGCGGATGGAGGTGCACGTAAAAGGAACGCCTACTGAGCCTATGCGACAGCCAAAACTCTACCTCCAAACTTCTAAACCGTTGTCTACGGCAATGAGGAACCAAGGGCAGAAACTGTGTGTGGAGAGCAGCCAGTTTCGCACGGGCAGCTGGGAAATTGTCACCAACAGCATCAGCACTGAGATTGCGCGTGACAGTGCCTACCTTGGGCACCTCCTTCAGTGGTGGATTGAGGCAGAAGGTGTGGTAACTGATATCGCAATCATCACAAAGGAGAAGCAGGTTCTCATCCGTGGCTCGACCGCAGCCCTCACAGATGGTGCACTCCAAGCAACGCCAGCCCTTCTCAAGCACAGTTCGAGAGACGCGGCTCAAATCTCCGCAAAAAATATGGAAACATTGACCACACTGAGCACAGGGTATGATGGGATCAGGACCGTTTCCGAAAGAACCGCAGGTTGTGCACATATCCTGCTCCAGCATGAATCGGTCATCTTTGCGGCTAATTACCACAGTACTCGGATGGTCGTCCTTCTCCGAACTAGACTTGGATTCACACTACAACGGCAGGAAAGAAAAGAAATCTGTCAAATTGAAACCGCTCAGCTTCGTCCAAAACGATAAACTAAGCAAAACTCATTAACAAAACCCGGAAAATCTAGAAAAGGTATCGAATTACCTCCTGAGGCATAATCCAAAGCCCAATCAGGACAAAAAATACCAAACTATCAAACAAAACAAGATCCCCAGTAGAGAATAAAAATAGTCCTCCCAACCAATACACATCAGTGGATTGAAGCCTCTCACACCGCACGCGTTACTAGCGTTAGCAGCACCATCAACTTGTATGCGCTGACCATGACAAATTTTTGTCAGAATGTGAGAGGTGCTCCCTCTCGCTCTCACTCTCTCCGGGTGGATTACACGTTCGTTCACGCATGGTTATCCTGCGTTAAGCCGTCGAGACCAATCAAAAACAGCGACTATTGATCAAGGTCACACGTCTGCACGCAGTGTTGAGAAGAGGTTAGTAGGTAGTGCGGAGCACTATCCAGAAACACACCACTCCAACCCCTCAGTCAGTAAATGGAAGTTATGCGTATAAGGTAGTAAGTAATTTTCAGTTGACCTTTCATAACACTCCATTATTGCTAATGATTTTTAAACCTCACGCTCTTTTATTGAAACAAGAAAAAACAAAAAAAAAAACAAATCCATTGCACAATTTAACCGACAAAGTGGGACCGAAAAGAGAAGAGACGCTCCAATCTATGCTAATCAGTCACATATGTGAATGATCTGTGGGTTTTTTTAAGAAAGTACGGATATGATTATTCAACTAGAATGTCCTGGAGATGCTAAGGGGAGAAACAACAATAAACAAATACAACAAAAGCTACTTCGGTGGAGAGTGGGGTGATTTACTTTGACTGTCCAGCAGTTCCGATCGTCAATGTAGCGAACAAACCGTACCTAGGAGGGGGAGGGGGGTGTGAGCGAAACAAGACAAAATGCAAAACACAGGATTTGCTAGTTAGGCGTCAACTACTAAGAGAATGAACCGAACAAAAACAAGAAAACACGGATACATTTTCAGAATCCGGCGAGCAGTGGGGGAGGAGATGATGTTGTTTCCTGTCTATCTTGCTTGGACGTCCACGTTTTTTGAAGCGTAGTGTCAGAGTCAACGGGGGATCGCGACTAAAATGGTGTGCTGAATGTTTGGACTCCGATTGGATTAAGTGTATCGGTGGGATAAACGCACCAGATGAAGGCGATTGTGGATGCACTTTCTCATGACTCGGAGGGAGCATACGCGACTGTGGGATAATTTTAATCACATCCTGAAAGAATTCGCAGTAAAGAGAAGGCTTCCTGGTTTGAAGACATAGGTTAAAAAGCCTGGGTTAGTCGGCGAAAGACTTACTGCACCGGTCTTGCGACTCTTTGAACGCCGAGCTCGCGTCCCACCACCACTGACCAAATTGGCCATGGCATTGCTCAAGGAGCGCTTGGCGCCCACTGTCTTTGCAATCTGCGGCTTTGATGAAGTGAAGTAGGGGTTCGGCGTCGTTGGAACGTTGCAGGGGAGCTGCAGACAGAAGGTAACTGTAACAAAGCCTTATTTACGTTGCTAAAAGCATGCCAGTCTACACGAGAGTTTACTAAGACGTACAAATCCCAACAACGACCGATTTCAAAACGAAGGCGAATTTTACATTACTTCTAAGTAGTTTTAGTAGTAATGTCAGTGTATGCGAAATTGAAGCAGTTGCCTCAAAGATAATTGTGGACAGACAGCAAAAGCTAAGAACTCCAACATACTCTTAGAAGGGGGATAAAGAAGTTCAAGATTCCGAAGTTGGGAAAAAATGCGCTTAACAGTTTCCATTTTTGAGTGTTGTAGAGACATGTCGAATAACCTCCAATAGAGAGAAATGGAACCTTTGGTACTATCTTACATGAAGTTACAGGGAATGAACGACTCCGAAACGAATTGTCATCGCATGTCACGACTATACATACGTCCAAAGCTCTACTCATTACAATGGAGGCTACCCTAAGGCTACGGAACACTTCGCATAATCCCAAAAACGATCCATCTGATAAAGAAACAACGCGACAAACGTACCTTGGAGAGGGGTTTGCACGAATCATTCAGGTCCAGTTTGATGCGTTTTCTTGCCATTTCGCCCATGCTAGCCGAAACTGATTTGGACTTGGTCAAGCTGCCTGGAGGGCGTCCCACGGCTCTGTGGATACGCACAGTCCCGCTTCCTCCTGCTCCACTGCTGTTGTTGCCGCGGGGAGATTTGGGCAGACTGATCGTGGGCGATACTAGAGAGTCCGTGGTGAGAGAACTTGTCTGCTTGCCCGGATCTGTTGTAGGAGTAGTGGAGGTGGAGTCTGCATTGCCACTGATGAACGACGACCCTCTGTTCGGCAGGGTTACCGAGGATGAGGAGACCTGCTGCTGAAGATCATCTGCAAGGGAGGGACTGGCGCTAGCGACAATTGAATTGGCGTCACCCAAATCGCTACTACCAGCACCACCGGCAAAAGGACTCGTGCGAAGACTGGCAGTCGCAGACAGGACCTACGAGTGAAGGCAAGCACCCGCTAATTGACCGTTCAAGACTTAACAGGATAATTTAAAATGCACGCTGTTTTTATTCCCTTTAAATACGGTAATGAACAAAAGCTATCCTACCAGAAGATATTCAACCAAAAAAGGATCAAGCAAATAGTAAGAAATATTTAACAATCCCATAGAACATTATAGCTCTAGCGATTGAGGTGATTCCAAACAGACTTCAACAAGGTCTAATTGCCCGCTGTGCATACAATGGATCTTGCCGTTTTATTCCAGCAAACAATAGCTAACAGACCAAAGTAATTCAAATAAGCGTACAATGTAGTTCAACAGTGAACAGCGGGAACACAAATTTATCAAAAAAGTGATAAAGTTAAATTTGCTTATGGGCGAAAATTAAGTCAAGACAAATGCGAACATATATAAGGGATACCTCACTGGGTGTAGCTGAATCTCGATTTCTGCAAGAGGGACAGAAGTAGCTCCCACCGCCGCAGCCGGTGGTGGTCTGAGAGATGGCAGTATCATCACTTCCCACAGCGCCACCACCGGTGCCACTAGCGTGAGCAGTGCCGAGAGACGGAGAGGATGAAGAATGAGGGGAGGACAGGGAAGACTGACCTACTGGATCACAGTCATAGTGGACCATTCGCCGGCACCCGTTGCACCGACGACTCGGCCACACCAGCGAAGGGTTTGGCGTTGCCGTCCCACCCGAGACTCCACTCGACTTCAAAAAAGATCTTAACTTAGTGTGTGCGTAAACTTTGGCCCCATATACCAATCGTGAAAGTATAAAGAACTACTCCTAGGGAATGTACGAAAAAGGGGCATGAACAGTATGTACAGGAAAACATACAAAAAAGTGCAGAGTCATTTACGAGTAAAGTTGGTTATAAAGGCGAACGAAGTTTTGAGAGCTGCAAACATGTACGCCATTATGCTAGGATTAAGCTAAAACTTACAGTAACACAGCATCGCCAGGCACGTTCGCAAACAGCACAGCAAGAGCTTTGACGTTTCCGGGTATGAAAACACCGATCGCACAGGGTATAGTTCGCATGCCACCGTATGGTTGGCTAGATGTATTACAAATAAGAAGGGATCAAAAGTACAACCATAAACTACAAAGCAACATCCCCAACCTGTTCAACTCCTTCTACTTCTAGAGGAGCGCCAAAACCCTTTGAAAAGGAGAACCGACGGAGACCACAATCCGTACAAATGCGGCACCGCTCACACTTAAAACCGTTCTTGGGTATGTTGGAAACAGGAGGCTTCAAGCAATATGTATGAAAGCCTTTGTCACAGACATCGCAAATGACCATCTTTGTTTCGTCTTTGCTTTCACTGAACAAAGAGATAAATCCAGACCAAAAAGAAATAACCAAACCTGCAAATGAGACAAGTCTTGCATTCAGGACACTGCCATCCAACACGAACAGTTGTGCTCAGCATCAATGGCGGCTCAAGACATGGATTGTGGAAATGATTGCCGCAACTAGTACAAAAAATCATTTCTGTTACGTCATTCAGTTGGCCACACACTAAACACGGAGTAACGTTTTCGCCCAGACTTGATACAAGGTCAAGATGAGAAGGACAAAATATTGTCAAGGTTTTAACCTCCTCAAAGCAACCAGCGCCAGCAGCACAGGGAAAGTGGAAACTTCGACGACAACCTTCAGCTCGACATGAAATGCTGGCACCAAGTCGTCTACACAGTGCGCATTCCACTTTCATGGCCCTCATAGCGGCTTCTTCAACACCCTCAAAAGTCATCTAGAGTAACATGATTTAACTCCAAAATGCGTACTTGATCGTCCATTACAACTCCATCGGACCAAGAAGCACAGCAATGGTGGGCGTACAACCAACTACCCTCACCTCCTTCCCTTGGAGCACAAGCGATAAGCAAATTCTCCAAGACGAGTTTCTCGCCAGATCCACCCGAAACCGGCCATCCAATTTCACGGAGCTCATCGATGTAACCGAAGGGTCTACCTTCAGCGTCGGAGAAAGCATTTGGAAGGCCACTCAAAATGGGCTTTCCATCAGACCTAGAAAGTTGAAGACGTGTAAGACACCTTACTCCAAAATTTTGCCCTCCTGCAGACGCCTGCATGCATCCAGCGCGCAGTGACTACCAACCAAATGGTCTGATGGTGTAAGAGGTAGGGTTGGTGTGCACTGAACAGATTGCTCAGAGACTGTCTGATTTAACTTCCACGAGAGGGCCCTCCGGAGAGCTTGGGGATGAGACTTCAGCTCCATGTACCATTCCGGCAAACGTAAGGGGGAGCGTGAGGTGCGAAACCGGACAAGTTTACCTTGTCCAAACTTAGCGGATGAGTCCATTCCACAAAACACGCATCGTGGCAACCGCATGATGGGAGATGAATTTTGTTTTCCTTCGCAATTTGAAACTGAGCCGAGACTCCCATCATCCATAACTGAAAAAGAACGAATTGAAAGAACACGGTACTTGTAAGCAAATAAATTAATCAATTCTGCGTAAAAAACTTCAAAATTAGGATCAGAGTTAGTTTAAATTGGAGTGAAGTGCTAGAACAAACCGGATAAGCATGAACGGCAAGAAGTCAACAAAAATGGCACTTTCTGCAGACAAACTTGCTGTGTTCTGCATTAAAAATTAATCACAAAGGAGCGTTTACACAATCGGAACGCACTTTACGGCATTAAAAGAACATTAGCATTTGATAAAATAACAAGCATGATGTAGGAACAGTTTGCACGTAAGTGCTGGGAAGTAAAATGACATAAAAACTCGACAACGAACACCACTATTAACGATGGCAAAGGCGAACCCCAACCCATGCAATAGCGCTACGAGGAAATTGCATATCAACGAAACAGAACAAGGCACCGACGTAACTTGAGTACGCCACACCAAAATAGGCGCCGCAATAGTCTAGATCTGTTGAAAGACGCGCCTTTGGATTTAGGTTAAGATGATGTGAAAACCAAGATTATTTTTGCAAAATTACCACCTATTTTATCTATGCGTTGCGATGTACACATTCTTACTCATCATATATAAGTGCATTAGGTGACGTTTATTCTTATGCCCTTACCAAAATACATAAAAACAGATTTAGTTTTTGGGAAGGATATGCGTATGCGCTAATTAGTACAAGGAATTATAAAAGGTGATACATTATGACTGATGACAAATTCCTTGATAATCTACTTCCTGATGTAATACCTTGCTTATTTGGCTGATTGCATGTCTGGAAGTCGTTTGATGTTTTACAATACTTCTCAATGGGTGGTCTGAGCTTTGAGCTATGCATAGTGTAGCCTCCCGAGGCTTTAACTGGGGTAGTAGAAGACATATGTGAGGTTGAGTACATGTATTCCGAAAACAGTAGGAGAAATGGGGGCCTGAGCATGGCCCGAAGGCCAGCCCACGTGTACAGGACCCAGACAAGTTCTAAAGTGACTGCCAAACGTCAGATAGTCACATAAACAAAGCATTACACTGCTCCTCTCTTCTTTTGAGCGACGTCCTCGGCGCTCCCTCTTTGGTACACCTCCTACTCCAGCTAACACAACATATTCGGTACTACCAGAAAGCATCCACGAACCAACCGCGCCATTTGACAGACAACGCGAGAGCGAGGAACCACATCTGGTCTTCTCGGCAGCTTTAACTGGATCTGGAGTTTCGTTTGGTCTGACAACCAGATTCGGGGTCCCCTACATCTGTCGACCATCAACTGCTTCCAGAAATACACGGTGAAACTCTGGTCTACAACAGATATGTTGCAGGGATAAGGGAACGGACCACTGTCCCGTACGCGAGGAGATCCGTTGTGTCATTTCCGACACCTAAACACGGGTTCTGT